TCGTCTGCCGCTCCCGGGGAGCCAGGTGACTAAACTTGTACTGCACAAAGTTTAGCACGCCCTGGCGGGGAGGGGAAGGGAAAAAATAGGAGAGAAGGTGTAAGCAGCTAGCATGGCCTTCTTATCCAAAAGTAAGGTGCTTCCTGAGGGTGGGGGGCTCTCTGGGGCTTTCGCTCTGGAGCTGTAAGGAGAGATTATACTGCCTCCCACCTCCATACCCACCCTGAGGTTAGCACAAAGCATCCTCCTTTCTCTGAACCTCTCCCCTGTTCTCAGGGCAGGAGGGGGGGTGGCAGATAACACAGGCTCCCCGCTCCTCCAAGATGCCACCTTCCTCATCCCACCTGCTCAATATTAGGCTTCTCAAATGGGGGGCTGCCCAGGGACCCCTCCACCACAGGCCGGGTCATCTGCAGGATGCATTTCCGCAGGAGCTGCAGGAAGAGGGAGGGGTAGAGATCAGTGGAGCACAGAGCTGCAGACATTCCCAGCTTCCCTTTCGCCCACTCACACTCTCATTTGAAGGAAGCTCACCTTGAAGAGGTAGAAATAGACCTGCTTGGTGTCCGTGTCCTCCTCCTTGTGAACAGACATGAACAGATTCTCCACGTCCACCACCATCCCCAGCAGCCGGTTAATCTCATCCTCCGACACATTCTCCAGGTGGGACACGTGGTCGGCTGTAAGAATAAGTGATAGTTGGGAAAAACTGACAGAAAAAAATCAACAGGACTTCCTCCTCCTGATTATTGCCAGACAAGACACATCCTCAGTCCCTCTGACCAGTGTGACCGGGCAATGAGACTGACTGCTCCTATGTCAGCCCTGGGGGCCTCATGTCTCTTTCGGTGGCAGATTTCCTTTCTGCTTCCTTGGGGCATACACACTCCCAGCCCAATTCCTCCTTAGAAGGCATCTTCTGTCTTTCAGAGATGAAACTGTGTGGTCCTGTCCAAACAGGACCCAGCACCTCCACCTCCCCAATCCTAGTTCCACGGGTACTACGTGCCTTACCCAAAGGGTGCTCACAGCTGCGGCACAGCTCGCTCAGGTTCGCCGCTGGCTGCTGCAGGTCCATGCGGGGTGCAGTGGGGGGCTTGGGGTTTTTCCAGCCATTACACTTGCAGGTTTCATTGGCCTGGAAGCAGAAATATCAATCAATAAGCGTGTAACCCAGGAAAGAGTAGCCGCTCCCCAGTCACAGCTTTGCCCCCATTCCCACCCAAGCCCTAGGATGCCCCAAGCCCCGCCCCCTATTACCCCAGGCCCCGCCCCCACCTTGCAAGCCGAGAAGACCCCTAGCTTTTCAAGCTTCTTGGCGCGCGGCAGCCCCCGGACTTGCGCCTTCCTTTGGCTGGCGCGCTGCTGCTGGCTCAGGCCAGGTCGAGCCGGATCACCCCCGCTCCCGGTACCCCCACTTCCTACCCCGGGGCCCCCAGTCCCTGTGCTCCCGGCTGGGGCTGTAGCTGGGGCAGGGGCTGGTGCCGGAGTGGGAGCCGGAGTCGGGGCCGAAGCTGGGCTGAGGGTAGGAGTCGGAGTTGGGGCAGGGGCTGGGGACTGAAGCGGACGGGGCTGCGCGGCAGGGGCCGGGGTAGAGGCCTGGGAAGGTTCCGCCATGGCCTCCCCCGAAGCGGAGCGCGGCGCAGCGCGGCGCTCCCAGCCCTAGGGCCGCATGGGCAACTGGCGTTCAATGCGCAGGCGTCGCTGCGCCAGAGCGTGATGGGAGTTGTAGTCTTTCACGGTTACTTTCGTCGCCTCCAGGTTCCAGACTTTTCTGTGCTGTCTCTCGATCCCAGACAGCCAAATGAGGCTTGAGCCAGCACCCCATATTGACTCCTCCTCATTTGTAATCCTTTTAGAAGGCTTCCGAGGTAGTCAAGATTGCTGCCTTTTGAGGGCAAGGAGAAGCACCCTAGGAAACAGGCTTCTATTTGGGGAATCACCTCCCAAGCCATGAAGGTGGAAATGCAGGCCTGGGGCCAGGAGTGTAGTGGTTTCATGCCCACCTCCCTCCTCCCCTTACTCTGCCCCTATCCCGCACGTTTCTGGACACAGAATTGCAGCTAGGGTGCTGATTAATTAGCAATAGTTCTATTTCTTGACTTGTTAAGTGGTTACATGGTTGTGCTTTGTGTACTTTTCTGTGTTAACTTCAACAACAACAAAAAAGGTTTATTATAAAAGCACTGAGCATCAGAGTAGTGGCCAGGGTCAGGAAAAAGACTCCTGAGGTGGGGATGAGGGAATATGGGACCCGCTATCCACCCACACCGTGGGCATCTCCCAGTCAGGGTCCATGTCTTCATCTTTGTGGTCCCAGAGCCCAGCTCTGAGCCTGCCACGATAGGCCGAGGGTAGGATGAATGAAGGAAACCAGGAAGACGCATTTATCTCCTAGTACCCATGTGTCGCAAGTTGGTATGTGGTCAAAGAACTGTAGGATATTACAAGAACCAGTGACCCCGTGGTCACACTGATGGCTCTCTTCGGGGGCATTCCTCCTTGCCCCTAGACTTGATTCGCGGATGAGCAAGAGTCTCACGGCTCAATCTCATTTTCACTCCGTGCTGGTGACCGCTGCAGGGTCGGGCTCAAGCGCTGCCAGCCTCTTTTGGCTTATCTGGTTGGGTCACAGCCCCGGCCGCCCGGCCCTCTGAGGGAGGTGGGGAGGAGCCCTGATCAAAAAAGGGGCAGCAGCGGGAGGCTACAGAGCAGCTGCCAACCTGACCCGTGGAGGTAGAACGTGCAGAACTGACCCCAAACTCAGCGGAAGCGAACCTCGCGGGAAGCCAAGGGAGCGCTCTGCGCAGAGCTGCGCTGCGTAGCGCGAGCGGAGCCACGCGGAGCCACGAGGTCCGCCCCCGCCCCCCAGCTCCGACAGGCCGCTAAGTTCTGAGCCTCGAGCCCAACAGCAGTTGCTCACTCGGATGCAGCGGGTCAGTAGCAGTCTCCCTAGCGGGAGCCAGTCGACCTCCCGATGTCCCAGCGTGGCCTTTACTGAACAGAACCAGGTGGCCACTCTACCAGTGCAGCGGCTCACGGAGGATGTGGCAGCTGGGGAGGATGGGTTCCAGATGAAGCTGTATGCCCACGGCTTCACCCCTGAGGAGCTGTTGGTTCAGGTGAACAGCGGATGCCTGGTGGTGACTGGCCAGCGACAACTGGAGGGCTGCAACCCGGATGGGACCGGCTTCCGCGTGGCGCAGAAGGTGCACCAGCAAATGTCACTCCCACCGGACCTGGATCCCGCTGCCATGACTTGCTGCCTGACCCCCTCCGGCCAGCTGTGTGTCCGTGGCCATTGCCGGGCACTGCCTTCCTCTGAGGCTCAAACAGGACCCGCCACGAGATTCAGAGGCCGTGGCTCTAAGAAACTAGCCTGACCCAGTAAACAACCACCGTAGTGAGCAACAGCTTCAGTGTCTGTGACCTTTTCTTGGGGCTGGGGTCAGAGGTGGAAGTAGAACAAAGGTAGAAGGCCAAGGAGAGGGCCCAGAGGGGCAGGAAAGGCACCTCAAGGTGGTGGTCAATCATAAATTAGGCCCTGGGGGAAGCTGGAGGCAGAGTGGGCAGTGTTGTTTCCCTCAGCTCGGCTCACTGCTTGGACCAGCAGCTCCAGCAGGGAGCAGCAGAGGGCCGGAAGGGCCCTCCCATTGCTGGACTCCAGGACCAGCAGAGGGCCCCCAGAGAGACGGGGGACCAGGTGACTTGGATCTGATATGGGGCTGCTATGTTGGCCTTAGGACTAGCCAAGGTTCCAGGGGTCCTAAATGTTCCTTCTTCAGGGAAAAGGGTGAGAGGACCCCACTCCCTCACCAGACTAGTACAGACTAGTCAAGAAACCCCAAAGAGGCTCTTTCTGGTGTTTAGAGACCCAACTATTTTCAAATACAGACTGCACATACCCCAAGAAAATCTGGAGGGGGTTGGGGAGAGGCAAATGCTGGACCCTCAACTTTCATCTTGAGATTCAGCCTCAGCTCGCTCTTACCCCACGCCACCCGGTTAGAGCTGGTAACAGCTGGCCTCTCTTGGTTACCATGACCACCAACATCCCCTCACTTTAGAAGGGGAAGAACGCTTTTGTTTAAGAAGATTTAGAGGTTCATGTGAAATTAACTTCAAGTAAGCTGGAGAGGCTATGGCCTGATAAACTCTGCCAGAGAAAGACAAGGAAGACAAGTGGGAGGTCGCTCGATCGGCTGACTATATTGACAAGATACTGATTGGTTACATGTTGAAGAAAACATACAATACAAAATACAGAAAAAGTTGGTTCCATTCCCTCCCACTACCCCCCCCCCCCTTACCCACCCACCCTCAAATACTCATCATCGTGATTTGGTCAGAACAGGGCTCAGAGCCAGAGGTCAGGGTGACCAAGGACGAGGGGGAAGAGGACTGTGAGCAATGGGTTCGTGGCTGTCACAATAATGCTGTGGTAATGCTGTGGGTTCTCTCCCAGCTGTGAGTTGGGGGGTGAGGCGGGCGCTGCAGCCTGATGACCGCCAGCTGAGGGAAGAGCTGCCTCTCCCTTCCCTGGCCCCAAGGGCCTGCCCCGCCACCCAGAACCAAGCACACTCCAGACACAGTAAGGATATGGATGGTCCTGCTGAGCCCGCTAATCAGCAAGAGGGGAAGAAGGGTAACTGATCCAACCCCTGCCTCCCCACACACCAGGGTGGCCGTGGAACAGGGGCACGTGGCTACTACCAGCAGAAGAGGGGGAGAGCAGTAGAAAGGGCAGGAAATGGGAAGAGCAGATCATATATATTAAAAAAGTGACTTAAGACTTAAAATTGAATTAGTATTTGTACAGAAAGGTGCAGGTGGAATAACTCACTCCGGCCTATGATCAAAATGATACGGAGAAATCATGGTGGACCCCTCCCCCTGCCCCCCCAGTGGTGGCCCGAGTCGTTAAGTGCGATTGGTTAGAGTGGATTCCAGTCGGGTCGTTGAGGCGGAGGAGGTGGGGGCAGTGGGCAGGCAAGGGGGGCTCAGTTGCTGCAGCACTGGCTCCGGCTGGCGGGGTTGTTCTCCTGGAGGTCCACACCTCGGTTCCGGCCCGGAGCACCAGCTGCATTCTGGGGTTCGTTCTTGGGAAGCTTCTTAGCTGTTGGGAGAGGAACGGGAAGATGTGTGTTTGTGAGGGAACCCCAGTACTCTCCCAAGTCCATTTGGGTACCACCCAATCTGTGATACCCAGCATACTGATGGCTTTGCTTCTATGTGCCAAGTGCATAGGTCTTTCAGAAAATTGAGGCAAAGAGGGGTTAAATAACTCTCCCAGGACCACAGAGTTTAATAAGTGGGAGAGAAAGGATTCAAACCCACACAGGATGACTCTAGAGCCAAATGAGCGAAAAAAAAAAACTAACAAGTGGGTAGGGAGCTGGTGATGTAGTTTTAGATGGTAGTACAATAAAGGGTCTAGAAGTGAAGTGCTGAGACTTGGGCTCAGGTTTTAGAAATTTCTGGAGTGAACTATATTTATCTGAGAGATGAAAAAGAAAACAATTTTATCAAAATATTAAAAATGGTAAAAGATCTGTTGATGAAGGGACCCCACAGACCTATGACAGGACTGCAAGCAAGTAATACACCCTGGCTGGGGGAGGGGAAGAGAGGCAACTTACCTATTGCCATGAAAATTTCATTCACGTTCATCGCAGTCTTCGCTGATGTCTCCATGAACAGCAAACTGTTGTCCTCTGCATAGGCTTGTGCTTCCTGATTTGGACAGAGGTGAGAAAGTGAGTGGGAGGGAAACACTGGCAGGGGCTGAGACCCAGGAGAAAAATCGTCCCTGATTACAGTGTCTTCCATACAATAGAGGCAATGCAGGGGTTTTAAGGCCTAAGGCTCCCCTGTTCTGAGTTCTCCACGTCACACACAGCACCTCTCAGCTCACACACATCAGCAGATGTCTGACTCAGGTTTCCATGGGCCCCAGTTCTGCCTTCTTGCTCTTCAAAATTACTAGGCTAGAAAATGTTTCTAGAAAGTTATCCTACAAATAAACTCGCACACTTGGACAAAGGTATGTGGATGTTGACTACAGCACTGTTTCTAGTCTTTTGTAATTATACACAATCTAGAAATCCATCAGGTGGGAACTGGTTAAAAAGAAACAGTATGTAAAGAGATTCATGGCCTGATGCAAAGAGCCAACTCACTGGAAAACACCCTGAAGCTGGGAAAGATTGATGGCAAGAGGAGAAGGGGGTATCAGAGGATGAGATGGTTGGATGGCAAACTCTATGGACATGAGTTTGAGCAAACTCAGATAGTGAAGGACAGGGAAGCCTGGCGTGCTGCAGTTTATGGGGTCGCAGAGTCAGACCCCATGTCAATTTATTGACTGAATAACAACAAAACTTGTGCATATTTTCCAGAAAGACAAGAAATTGAGAGGAACTGAGGGGGACTGAGTTTCTAGGGTTACAGACCCAAATTTCATCCTACATACTTTCCTGTACTGTTAAAAATTTCCAATGTGCATGTGTTTAAAAAAAAAAAGTTTTTTTACTGTTTTGTTAAAAAGTTAGTTTACAGAAAAAGTAAGCTGAAGCTTCTGCTGTCCCCACACACACACCCCACCCCGATGGACACAGAAGGCAGAGCGGCGGACGACACTCCCTTTAGGCCGTGCTCGAGCCGTGAGGGGACTCAGACAGAAGCTCCCCTACCACCACCCATGGCAGTCCTTCGCAAAGCCCGAGCAGCCTGGGGAAGCCTAGTGGAGACAGCTCATCCTCCCCCACCTGGAACTCCACGGCTCTCTTGCTGGCCAGGTCCGCCTTGTTGCCTGCGAGCGCGATGACGATGTTGGGGCTGGCCTGCCTCTGTAGCTCCTTCACCCAGTTCTTGGCCCGGGCGAAGGTATCCTGGGGAAACAGGGCCAGAGCGTCAGCAGGACAGACTGGGCCTTCTGCCCACTGCTCACTGGAGAGGCTGGAGCTGACAGTGCCCAGGTGTCTAAGATGTCACCACCCTAAAGATTCTGGAGAGACGCCCGCTAACACCAGAGGAAATGTGCCCACACCCCAAGGAACAAAGGGTAGAGAAGCAAGAGAAAATCTTTACTGTGTTGGTGATGTCGTAGACCACGATGGCAGCCTGGGCCCCCCGATAGTACATGGGGGCCAGGCTGTGATACCGCTCCTGTCCGGCTGTGTCCCAGATCTCAAACTTGACTGTTGTGTCGTCCAAGCAGACGGTCTGTGTGAGGAAGGCCGCTGGAAGAAGGAAGGCGGTATTACCAGGTGCGGAAGAACTGAGAAGACACCCCCACACATCTGTGCTGAGCCATCCAGGCTCTGGCGCTTAGAAGCCTGCTGCTGAGGGGGGCACCGAAATCCCCCAAGCTGGCAGCCAGAGCAGCTGAGCAAGGTGGCCGGAGCTGGTGCTACTGTGTGTCGAGGGGGCAGGGGTTGCACAGGCTTTGCAGACCCAGCCAGGTGGGAGTGGGGGGGGAAGGGAAGCTACTTCAGGAGCCCTCCCTGAAGGACAGCAGCCAGGGGCAGCAGAGGAGGAGTCCAGGAGAAACCTGGCTCCAAGCACAAAAGGGTGGGCCCAACGCCCCTCCTCCGCTCTCCCATCGGAGAACACTCCCAGCCCCTTGGTCTGCTCCAGCCCAGGGGTGTCGCTGGCTTTTGGTGTCCTGAGGACACTCTCACACGCTCAGCTATCCTGGGGAAGAAAGAAGTACACGCCGTGCTACTGCTGCTACTGCCAGGCAGGGGCTGGGTGACCGGCTTCCCACCACCGCCCCTGCCACCTCCAGGCACGCCGGCCGGCCGCCACCCTTGGCTTTGCCCTCGACTCGCTCCTGACTGGCTCCACCTTCAGGGAACACAGTGACCCTATCTTTGGCCAGAGGAGGCAGGGGAACACTCGGCACCTGTGCGTGTGCTTCAAAGGACGAGTCTTAGAGCTGGGACTGGCAGGCGGGAGCCCCAGCAGAGGACTGCGGGCAGCCCTGTGGAGGAAGCTGGCCCTCTGCGTCCACCCTCCCCACACGTCCCTGAGGGGCCTGGGCCCTGCCTCACTTCCCCCTCTCCAGCTCCTGACTGGAGTGCTGAGGAGGCAGCAGAAGACTGCTGACACGGCCCATTCTGTTTCCAGCTGCCTGGAAACCTCCTACCAACCAAGAGGGTAGAAAAAGCATGACTCAAGCCCAGGGTCGGCCCCAGCCCCTCGAGCAGTGTACTGGCCACTGAGGCAGGAGGCTGAGACCAGACCCTCACATGCCACATGCTAGGAAATCACTAGGAAATCAGTGACAGGCTCTGAGCTCAAGAAGGGCTAAAGGTCAGCTTCAGAAACACCAGCCCACTCACAAGGCCATTTCCCCATTCCGGGGTTGACGCACTGCCTGGTTGTGGTAAAAAGATAAGAATCCTCAGAGATCCAGATGGAGCCCTCCTGTCCAGGTCGATGGGGGGTGTACCTTGGGCCACACAAGTAAACCAAGAGGTGGAACCAGGGGAGGAAGGCGATTTTAGACTCAGATTATTCTTACTAGATGTCTGCTGGGACACAGACACGGAGACCAGCTGCTGGATTCAATCCCAGGGCTTGGGGGAGGCGAGCTGCTGCCGCCCGAGGAACGCTTAGCCTGTGAGCAGTCAGCATCCCTTCTCCTCGATGCCCGGGCATCTCCTTCACTTCCCTGAGGCCGCCATCCCCGCCCTCGGGCCCACTCACCTCCAATTGTGCTCTCCTGGTACTCGTGGAACTGCCCCTTGACGAAGCGGAGGACGAGGCTGGATTTGCCGACCGCGGACTCCCCCAGCAGGACCAGCTTAAACTGACAGATCTTGTTCCCAGCAGCTGGTCCGTTGGGTCGTGCTGCGCCTCCCCGACCCGCCATGGCCCGTCCCGCTGTAGTGGTACCAGTGAGCGTGGGGGCAGGGGCCGGTGCTATGCAAAGAGGCACTTAGTGGGGAGGGGGGCTCCAACTATAAGGGAGAGATCAGAAGTACTGGGTTAGTACAAAGACTGTGGCCCAGTGAGCCCTTCTTAAACCACAGGTCACTCCTCCACCCTCCTTGATGACCTGGCTGACTGCCTCCCCTCGCCCCCTACATCCTGCCCCACTCTTTCAGAAGTTAGGACATGAGCCCTCACTAGGCTTACCCCACATCTCTTGGCCCTACAACCATCTGATGGTAAAGAGAAAAGTGGTCTCCCAACTCTAGGCTCACAGTTCTCAGCAAACACCCTGACTTCCCAACCCCAGAAACGTACATTCACATACAAGTTAACACCCACAGGAAAGGAATGGGCATCTGCCAGCCTGGTGACTGATACACAAATCAACAGGCAATATGGGGTACCAAAAACTGGCTCAGAAGATTCTAGGATCTAGCTCGACAAACAATGGACCTGTGGCTTGGTAGCTGAGATCACAGCCCACCTCTGTGCAAAGCCAGAGTGGGAGGTGAGGTCAACCAGGGGACGGGGAGTCCCCGTGGAAAGCGTCTCAGACAAGGTGCTCGGTCAACCTCGTGGGCCTTTGGGGACCAGGGCCTGGCCAGGTGCAAGTTGTTATCAAAAGAGTCGTTCTGTTCTGTCATCTCCAGAAGCACTGACCAACTTTCTCAGTCTGAGGCTGGACTGTGTGCTGGAATCAAAGCTTCATTTCACTCCCTCCTCCTGAGCCTCTCCCCGCCGCCCCCCACCAGCTCTCTCATTTCTGATGGCCCAGAAGTCTCACTCACATTAAAAAACCAAACACACACAAAACCAAACACACACCGCAGCCAGCCAGCTCTGCTGGCATTCAGAAGGGCTGCCGAATTCCCCTGTTAAATAGAGACTCAGTTCCATTCTCCACTGGCAGAGGCAGAGGGCGACGCGGAGGCAGACAAGGGGGGAGGTGCGGCTGGGCGGAGACAGACATGGGTGCCAAGACCTGTGTACCCCCCACCCCACCCGGAGCTGGTGTTCCTACACTGACATCTGAGTCACTCTGTCAGTGGTGGCTGGGACTGAAAAGAAGGTTGAGGCGCCCATCTCCAGAAGCCTCTAGAAGACTTACACAGAACGTACACAGAATGTCTGACAAACGAGCACTGTGCGTAGGTATTGTATCCTGAAGACTCTGTGGGGCATCTGAACCTAAGCTGAGAAGAAAAGGTTTGGCTGAGACTGCCCTTTGCAGGACAGAGTCTATGCAGGAAGGGTTTCAGAGCAAGACAGCCCGACTGGTCCCTGAGCACGGGGAGCGCGTTCCCCACCGGTCAAAGGAGGGGGTGTGAGTGAAGAGGGGGGTGTTTGTGAGAAGCAGTGGTCTGCGCGCATGTGAGCTGCAGGCACAAAGGGCTCGCTTTGTGCAACCTCGAATCGTTTCTCCACGTCCAAGTTCTCCCAGCAACTCGCTTAAAAAGTGAGCTTCAGGAAGAGTGATTCACTAACCAGGAACAAAAGTTTCCTTTCTGGACGGCACTAAAGGAAAAGAGGTTTGAAGTGGGGGCCACCTATTCCCCAAGAGTACACGGAAGGAAGTATGGGGGGGGGGAGTCCTCACTTAGTGACAAGAGATGCTAGTTTTGAAATATTTTCTAATTTCAGATGCTTTCTCTTTTCACCCCAGTCAATGATATTGGCAAGACCCTACACTGCACCCTTGAGGCCAGATCTGTGCTTTCGGCTCTTTTGTCGCCTTCCTCTCAATGTTCTGAACAAACGGGGAATTCAAAGAGCACTCACCAAATGAAATGATTTTCAGAGACAGCTGACATTTACTGAACAACTGTACAACTGGCATCTCCTTTAACCTTTATAACCATCTCCTATTTTTCAGATACATAGCCTGCTGCTCAGGTGTTAACTGCCCTGCTCAGAGTCACCCAGCATGTGGTGACGGAACCTGGACGCGAGCCACGGTCCCCACTGTAGGGGGCACTGTGGAGGCAACGCCCTCCCTCTGTGGTTTTGAGCGGCTGGGTGAATGAGACTCTCCTTTGGTGGCAGTAGTTTGCTTGCCCAGCAAGGGTTGGCTCCGGCTGCCAGTCACAGTCACCCTGAAGTCCCTGCGTACTCTTGCCACCAGTGGGAGGAGCTGCCCAGGGACAGGCGACAGCGACAGTGCAAAACCACAGTGGAATTACAGGTGGGTTTATTACCACGAATCCATGTGATGCGTAATCCTGGCCCAGCAACAGAGTGTGGCTGGGGCACTGGAGAAGGAGATATGAATGAGTGGGGAATGGGGAACAGGAGGTGAAGACACAATTCCAAGAAAACCAAAGCAGCTGGGGCTGAGGGTTACTGGGGTGGGGGGTAACCAGCACTCACAAGAAAAATAGAGGTAACACTTAAGTCTTGCTCTTATCAAGCCCGTGGGTTTCCAAACCTGCCCAGACAACTCTGATTTTTCTTAAACAAGTCAGAAGAAGAGACATATAATTTTTATGCAGTGGGTCTCAACCCGGTCTACACAACAAAACCACTCGTGCAGTCAGCCCCTGGAGGTTCCGGTACAGGCTGGAGAAGGGCCTGGTGTCTGCATTTTATAACTTGCTGCAGGTGCTCTGCCTGGTACAAACTGGCTGGGGACATGTTCTTCCTGGATGCCGGTCCTGCCTTGCAGAGACACCTGAGCAGGCGCACACAGCATTTTTTTTATGGCCTGCTGCCTCGTGGTTTTCTTGGCCCCGCTCGGTGATCACATGAGCCGAGGTCTTGAACCTTTCCCAGACACTAAGACACAGAGGAAGTTGATTTTGTCACCAAGGGCACACGGAGACATTGAGGTGCCTAAGACAGGCAGAGGCCATGCTCAGCCCCCAGGAAGCCCTGGCCCTCCCCTCCCAAGACTGGGAAATCAGAGGTGGACCCCTTGGCAGGTGGTAGAGGTGACTTCACTGAGCTGGGCTTCTGTCTGGGAACCTTTCCTCCTGAACCAGCAGCTAGATTACCCACAGGTGCAGTCAAGTGGTGGCATTCTAACCCAAAATGACACAGTAAAAGTCAGTCTTCTTTTAGACTGAAATCTATCCAATTCTCTTGAAGAGCTGAGTTATGGTCAAAGTTTCTTATAAGATATAGAATAGGCCAAAACGTGTATGTGTGTGTATATATATAAAACCAGTTTCTCCAGCACCAGGGAAAACACATGAGTGGAATGAATTTCCTCCTGGATATTTTCATGAAGCTGCTGAAATATGTAGAGCTTCAGACCCACTGCGAGGGCCCTTTCTCGCCATAACCCAGCCATCCATCACCCCCATGCTCCATATCAGAACTTGGTTCATTCAGAGGCCACTAGAACAAGCACCACTCCCAATCTTCAAGGGAACTGGGAGAGACTGTGAGGGTGGAGATACCCTACACCTTTCTCCACATGGCACATGAAAGGGCAGAAGGGATCTGAGCTCCTAAACACTCTGGCCCATGAACAGGCCTAACAGGTACATGCCCAGCCCAGCCTGAGACGGAGGGGAAGAGAAAGAGGAAAAAAAGAGCAGGATGCTGCTATTCTGACCTCTGGACACTTAGGTCTTGTTCAGTGCATGCATGCTTAGTCATCCAGTCATGTCCGACTCTGCTATAGACTGTAGTCCGCCAGGCTCCTCTGTCCATGAAATTCTCCAGGCAAGAATACTGGAGTGGGTAGCCATTCCCTTCTCCAGGGGATCTTCCTGACCCAGGGATCAAACCTGGGTCTCCTGCATTGCAGGCAGACTCTACTGTCTAAGCCACCAGGTCAGTGGATCTCAAACTTTTTTCCATCAGAATCATCCACCAGGTTTAGAAAATAGGCCTGACCAACTGAATCTAGAATCTCTAGGAGTGGAGTCTAGAAATCAGTGTTTTTAAAATAAGTCCTCTTTGGGACTTTCCGAGTGGTCCAGTGGTTAAGAATCTGCCTTCCAACGCAGGAGACTCGGGTTCCACCCCTGACCGAGGAACCCCACATGTCTTAGGGCAATAAGCCTGCACTCTGCAGCTACTGAAGTCCACACACTCCAGAGCCTGTGCACCACCATGAAAGCCCCAGCATGATGCAACTGACACCTGGAGCAGCCAAAAATTTAATTAATTAAAAAAACAAAAAACATAACAACAAAAAATAAAATAAGTTTCCCAATAATTCCCTGGAAGTCCAGTGGTTAGGACTCAGTGCTTTCACTGCCGAGAGCCCAGGTTCAATCCCTGGTCAGCGAACTAAGATCCCACAAGCTGTGAAGCATGGCCAAAAAACCAAAATAATAAAATAAAAATAAGTTCCCTAAGTGATTCTAGGTGGCTGATTTAAGCCCAATAGTTGCAGTTGACACAGGAAAGAGGGAGGAGAATGAGAGACAGAAAGGCGCCCCCAGATGGGTACTGTGGACAGTACAGGTGAAGCAAGCTGGGAGTGGGGACTGGCTCTCGGCTTTACCCAACACCTGAAGCCTTCTCCAAGACACCAGATGCTGCTGGAATGTCGCCTCTCCCCCCAAGTCTCCATACTCGAAAAGTTCACCTTTCCCTTCTCTAACCATGAAGTCACCTACTTTATACACTCTGTCCTTCCTGGTAAAGACTGAGCAATTCCAGCTGGTGGGTGTCTCTCGCACTTCCTGTTTGCTTCAGAGACTTCCTCTAGCTGAGTCCCAGCACAGTGTGGATAGTGAGCCGATTAGGGAAACCAGATTTCGTTTTGGCCAGAGGCTGGGCTGAGACTCTAGACTTTCTTACTCAAGGTTAGCCTTGAGGGTTGGGGGGTGCTGGCCAGTGACTCTTCAACTATACTTTACTCTGGATAAAAGCATTCCTGAATATTTAACACGGTGAGAATTGGGCAAGAGGACAGCAGAAGCAACCTGTTAGCTTAAAGAGAATGAGCAAATCAGGGAATGTAGGAAAGCTAATTAGGTTCAG